AACAGCTATCATTACAGACTAAAACCTAGGGATGGGAATTTTCTCCATTTCCCCGATCCTCGCGGGGACCCGCCCCAAATGGGGTGGGGATGGGGATACATTAATTTTTAAAAATAGTTGAATATGTTTAAATATATTTGAATCTTTTTTAATAGGATTGTAAATTGTAATTATTTTACTTTTAATTTTTTAAAGGGCAAATTACTTAAAGTACCCCTAAGGTTTAGGAAATTGACTAGCTCTACCCTTACTGTTTACATGTCTTAAAGTACTACTAAGTTTTCTGACAATTGTCTAAAACCTCTCATATCGTTAACTTTCCGTCACATGTGACATCATGTGACTGATATTTTTCAAAAAATCCTAAAATACCCTTCTACCCCTCCCTCTTTATCTCACCAATGGCATCTTCACTCTTCTTCTCCGTCGCCTACTCCTTACTCCATCATTGGCATGACAAGATTCGGACATCTACCCCTCTCCACATCGCCGATACTATTCCTGCCGCAAGGCCCAATGAAGGGGAGGTCTCTTGCTGATTTACCTTTGGAGGGTTTCGACTACAATTCTATTTTTGGCCAATTCTGTGAGATGCCAATTGGGTACATCCAAATTCCAGTGGGAATTATTGGGCCTTGTTTCTTGATGGAAGAGAGTTCATTGTGTCGATGACCACTACCTTTCGGCTCTGACGCACATTGTGTCTGGAGAGAGAGGAGTGGAGATTGGATTTATCGACCCAATTTTACTGGTTTTGTTCCACCAATTTTAGCTTCCTCTGGGGTGGTGGCAACCTATGCCGCTGCTTCACCTTCTTTCTTCTTCTTCATTGAGCAATGTAGGATAAAAGAGAGGACATGAGAAAGAGAGTTCTAGTCAGTTGCCTGAAGTAGTTTCTTGTTTTTTCTGTTATAGTTAAAGCAGAAGGTTTGAGCATTATAACAATTATTACCGTTGCAACTTCGACTCCATCAGCTCCAAATGAAATTGCAACCTATGATGAATTGGGAGAGAGAAGAAGAAGAAACAGAAAGGTGAGGTAGAGACTGGGGGAAATGTGCAGCAGAGATAAGGGAGCCACATAAAGCTGCCAACTTAAGCTGCTTCCAGGGCTTACAATGAAACTACTATGAGATTTAGAGAAAACAGAGCAAAACTCAACTTTCCCGAGAACGTCAGATTCAGGCAGCTTCAAGTTGAATTGAAGTTGGTGCACATGGGAATCACCCATCTATTTATCAATGAAAAAAACAAAAACTGGAGCCAATGAAAAAAAAAATTATCAATTGGGTTTTATTTTGAAAATTTGAGAAATAATGGAGGGCAACTTTGACATTTTTCCTTTTCCATCAATATTTAACGACGATGGCAATTGTCAGAAAACTTAGGGATACTTTAAGACAATATGTAAACAATAAGGGTAGAGTTAGTCAATTTCCTAAACCTTAGGGGTACTTTAAGAAATTTTCCCTTCTTTAAATAAAATAAAAAACAAAAACAAAATAGTTGACATTATAAAAAATAACGAGGAGTGGGGATCCCCATGGGGACAAGGATGGGATAACCCAATCCCATTGGTTGGGACGGGAACGGGGATAGGGATGAGGATGGGGATTTTCGCGGGGACAAGGATGGGGAGTGGTTCTCCATCCCCGCCCTGCACTGCCCCATTGCCATTCCTACCGACACCCCACCTATGTAAGCCAATTTTGGGAGGAATACTTTCGATCACATGGCACCCACATTTATCATTCCACTAGCTACCACCAATAGCAGACTGGCGGGCAATTGAAAGTGGTTAACCATTGCGTAGATACCTACCTCAGATGCTTTGCAGGAGAGAAACCTACTCAATGGTTTAATTGACTTCCATGGACTGAATTTTGGTATAATACCACTTATAATGTTACTACAAGGACCACCCCCTTCAAAGTCTTGTATGGAAGAGACCCACCCTTAGGTTGTGTTTGGTTTGAAGGAAAGAGTGGGGAAAGGAAAGGAAAGGTAGGGAAACCTTTACAAACCTTGTATGGATTTCGCTACCTTTTCCTTCCTTTCTCTACCTTTTCCTTCAAACCAAACATAGCTTTAGTGTTACCATATGAGAAAGGCACTTCAGCAATTGCAGAGGTTGAACGGTAGCTTGAAGCCAGAGACGAAACACTACAGCCACTCAAGGATCACTTGCTGAAGGCTCAAAATTACATGAAGTTTCAATATGATAAGAAGCATCGTGAGGTGGAATATCAAGTAGGGGATTTCGTCTTCTTGAAACTGCACTTACAAACAATCATCATTGGCAAAAAGAGCTTGGCAGAAATTCTCACCCAGGATCTTTGGTCCCTTTTTGCATTTTGAAGAGTGGGAGCAGTGGCTTACAAATTGGACCTACTGGCTACCACCCGCCTCCACCCAATATTTCATGTCTCACTCCTCAAACCATGCAAGACAAATGCAGCTCCAATGAAGCCACTCCTGCCTAAGTTTACTAGTGAAGGACAGCTAATTGTTGAGCCCAATTTCATCAAGGACATCCGTTGGATTAAAATGGGCCACAAAGTGGTGAAACAAGCCCTTGTTCAGTGGACCAACCTGCCATAGAAGATAGCCACATCAGAAGATTTCAGTCGGTTGCAGAAGTAGTTTCGCAATATTGACCTTGAGGCCAAGGTCATTCTTAAGGATGGCAGAGATGATAGATCCCAGGCGGGTAGCCCAACTTCAGATTATCAGGCCCATGAAAATCAAGAAGCCCATGCAGCACCAGCATTGGCCAACCCAAAGCCTTACAAGCGTAACAAACCTCCCTTGCGTTTTGTCTACACCCATAGGCCATGTCAAGACAACCCACATGCATAGTTCGTTGGTAATGATGAATTTGATAAGTAAGCCTATATAAGGCCAGTGGGCAGTGAAGAATGTGTGAAGAATCATAACTCTCTTTTCTATTTCTTCCTCTTTCTCCCTGTCTCCTCTCCCTCACACTGGTTCTGTTTCATTTTTCTAGAGGAAGGAGCTCCCTCAAAGAAGCTTTGTTGATCAGGAATCCATCATAAAATCTTCATGAGGAGGCTGCCAAACCAAATTTACTTTTTCGATCTTAGAAGAGCTTCTAACCACCATCTCTTAATTTATCCATATATCAGCAAAGGAGAACTGTGAGAATGAATCCATTGTTCTAATCCAGTGAATGGCTCTACTCACTACACAATCTCTTGCCACTTTTTTTTTATTTCTTTTGAAGGGCTACACAATGGGGGATAGCCCACCCCCAACCCAGGTGTAGGTGGGATTCAATCCCAAGTCTCCGCTACGACCAGCAGGAGACCTTACCAACCCACTGGTTGGAAAATTGCCAACCAGATAGTCCAGAAATATTCTTGCATTCCTTTCTTACTAGATAATCCAGATCAATGCTGCTCTCACAGACCTGCACACAATCTCAGAATTCCTTATAGAATAATTTACTTAATATTTTTGATATACTATTTTTTTTATCAATCACCCATAACCTTCCCCTTTACCCTTTTTTCCCCAAAGTGCTGGTTGCGGGACTTGATTCCACGTCAATGCTGGAGCAACCCAGCTAACACACCAACGAGCCAGCCCTCGATTAGTAATATTTTTTTATGCAACTATGTATATTCTTTTTTCCCTTTTTTTTCAAACTCCTTGCCTCACCTAACCCTCAAGGAGTGGACTTCCCAGTGAAGGAAATTTAAAGTCTATCCCACCTAAAATTCAAGTTTTCTACTAGGAAACCTTTCTTGATAAGGTAAATACTTGTCATATGCTGCAAAGAAGGCCTTATGTTTGCCTTTCTCCTCACTTGTGCTTCTTATGTAGGGACAATGGTGAGACCCCATCTCATTTATTAATCTCTTGTTCATTTGTGCATAGAATTTGGGAGTTTTTTTTGTTCTCTTTTCGGGTGCAAGTGAGACCCCCCTCAAGATATGGTGGGCATTTTCAATCCTAGCTTCTCAAGGCAATCAAAGAAAAGAGAGAAAGCGCTCTAGAGAGCTACTAAGGCAGCAATTTGCTGGGTGGTATGGGAAGAAAGAAATAGCAGGACCTCAGCAAGAAGTAGGACTTTGGAGGAAGATAAACAGCATAAAACTAAGGTAGCTCAATGGTTAAAGACCTTCGATAGTTTCCAAATCTTCTCAGTCACTATTTAAGAGCTTGGACCAAAGTAGCACAGTCTTCGAGAGTAAAAGATAGAATAAGAATGGATTGGAAACCCTGGAACCCCCCAGAAGATAAAAAAGTCAAGTTGAATTTTGATGGGAGCTCCCATGGAAATCCGGGCATAGCAGGAAATATGGCTATGGTACCTAGGGAACTACCCCAGGATCTATGTTTTATATATAAAAAAATCCATCACCTAGGCAACGCCTAGGCGCCCCCCTGACGCCCAGCCTCGCCTTGGCGCCTTGAAAACTATGGCTGCTAGGTAATTTGGGTTTGAAAGTAGGGAATGGCATTTCTGTCATCAAGTTGTACTACCAACTTCTGTAAAGTAATTGAGTAGTCAAATCTTCTATAACTGAGACTTTCCATTTTGCCCTTCCTCTTGCCTTTTAGGACCTTTACTGCAACTAGAAACATTGTATTTCATCAAAGATATCTTTTTTTTTTTGATAAATGTATTTCATCACAGATATCCAAACCATCCTAATTGACTTTCCTTTATCTTGTCACCAATTTTTCTACCTCTAAGTTCCCTAATACATATATCTAGTCTTTTTCTCTCCCAATCTTCACACTCACTCACACTTAACATCAACATCTCTAGCATGCAATATATGTTTCTTGTTGGGTGCCCAACACCCTACTCTAAAAGTACAATTGCCTATAGAACTGTAAAATGAAATCTTGAAGATGTCACAAGTCCAAAATAAAAAATGCAGTTCTATATAGAAAAGCAAACTAAACAGAAGTTACAAAGACACGATACTGAATAAAAGGTAGACGTTTGAAATAAACAATCAACAGACCTGCCAGAAAATGAAATTAGTGCTAATTGTCTGAGCTACAGCCTCATTTGCCCAAGTATCTCGGTTCAGCTTCACATAGCATTTACAATTCAGAATTGAGACTGGATTCAAGGCCAGGAAAAAAAAGCTCAAAATAATGCAATCGAAGGGATTCAGATGGCATTACCATATGTGAACTGAACTCCTTGGTAGATTGAATGTTTACTAGAAGCCACTTATCCTGGGCAGCAGCTGCAACCTTTGCCTGTAGCAACAGTGGTGACCCATGTAAGGCCAAAAGAAAAGAAGCTGAAAGAACAAACTAAATATAATGGTTTAAAACTATATTTTCCACAAACTTTTCAAAAAAATAACCACTATATTTTCCACATAGTAAACATTAGCTGAGTGGGTGGAATTTGGTAACTCTAAACTCTGATCCGTAACAACCAAAAGAATTCCAGGAACAGTTTTGAGCTCTAATACGTGAAAATTTACTTTTCTGCTTTTTCAGATATGTGAATGCAATGGTGCTGTTTGATAACCTTTAAGAAATATTTCTTTCATAGTTTTACCCTTTTGACTATATAATATATATTATATTATAAGTATATATTTTATACAACTAGAAACATATTATATTACATATACTATTACTATATTATGTTATTTTATATAATACAATATATTCTATTCCATTATCTTATATTTTTGGGTAACAATTTTTTTCTGAAAAAAGGTAAAGCAAGAATTTATTAAAAATCTAGGGAAAAGAAGGAAACAAATTAAATTATTGAGAGATATTATATTTCATATTCTATACCATAAATGAATTGACTAAACATCTTCAGGAGAGGTCCCATGGTGCATGTTTGCTGATGACATTGTTTTATGATGAACTAATGAACAATTAACTGTAAAATTAAGTATATGGAAAAATACCTTAGAAACAAGAGGTTTTAAAATAAGTAGGACTAAAACAGGTTAAAACAAGAGGTCTTTACGGACACAGTTGCGATCTGTGCGACGGAGGAAGATGGTAGCTAAGATTCAGAGTCTGAAGACTCTTCAAGTATTGGAAGCGTGGATCTGAAAAAAGCCAAATCCCTCAGTGATGAGAGCCTTCACACCGAACTGCTTTTTTTGGAAAACGACGACTTGGATGTTTCAATTTCAGCCCAGAAGATGCACTCTCAATGTCTCTTATTACCTGCGGATTTGGGGTTTACCGCATATTTTATAGAGGAGAGGCAGGGGACACCGGTTCTTAAATTAGCTCCCAGTTCACTAGAGCAGCATGGCACTGATAGAGGAATAGAGGAACAGGAATTACCTTGGTCACCGATCACAGAGTTATCAACAAGGGGACAACTTACAAAGGCAAATTCTGATGCAAGGATTAAAACAACATTGGTTGAACACAATGGGAACCCACAGTTATCTTCTTTAGAAGGATTAGCCGCGACCTTGCCCCTACGTGTTGCCCCTCAAGAGTTTTTGACATCTTCCCACAACCATTCAGGTAATATTGTCAATTCGTTTTATGGTACTGATGTGGGTTTTCTGCCTGAAACAGGTACTTCTGCAGCTCAACTTGATGCAGCAGCCATGGTTGGAAGGGACAAGGGGGGCAAAGAACAAGAGGAAGTGATAAGGGGAAGAGAATCACAGGAAAAGGAGTTAGAGATGATCTGGGATCAGATCTGTATGTTTTTGGAGGAGTATAAGAGAAAAGAGGAAGAGGGAGGGAAGGGTGAGGTTCAAGAAGGTTCAGCAAAAACAGGGGATCAAAGTAGGAAAAATACAAAGGGTGAATCAATTATGGGAAAGATGCAGAATTAGAAATTAGAGAGGATTTGGGGGCAGATCTGTGCCCTCCTTGAGGAGTATAGGCAAAAAGATGAATCTTTGGAGGAAAACCAAGAAATTTCAAAAAGACAAAATAAAACAAAAGCAGTCTTAAGCAGATCTGGAACATTTAATAACCGAAGGAAGAAGAAAAGATCAGAGGTGGAAAGGCTGATATCAGATATTGAAGAAAATCTGGAATTCAGCGGAAGAGGGGAGAGAAGGAAAGCCTCTAAGTAAAGGTCTGACCTTAGAGGGGGATGCCAAATCTTTTACTACCATGAAAATCATTAGTTGGAATGTGAGGGGGTTGGGGAGTGCTAGGAAAAGAAGGCTGATTAAGGACCTCCTTAGAAGGGAAAGGCCGGATATAGTGATGCCTCAGGAGACCAAACTAGCTGATACAATAGAAGATGGGCAAGAAGTATATGAAAATCTAGAGGAATAAGATGGGTTTCAGCACCTTCTTGGGGGGCTTCAGAGGGAATTGCTACCTTTTGGAGAGAGGATACGGTGGAGGTTTTGGAGGAGCTAGTAGGTAATTTTTCAATGTCGTTAAAATTCAAGATGGTTGAGGATGGATTTATCTGGGCCCTAACTGATGTGTATGGACCAAGCAATTACAGAGAAAGGAATGAACCATGGGAAGAGATCTATGGGATTCAAGGGCTTTGGGATGGTCCGTGGTGCTTGGGGGGAGATTTCAATGTAATTCGATTTACGAATCAATCAAATAACCCCCAACAGATCATTACAACCAGCATACGGAGATTCAACGATTTTATTAATAATTTGAGCTAAAGGAACTCCCGTTGCTGCAAGCTATCTATACCTGGTTCAATTTTCAGGAGGTACCAACCTGCTCCAAATTAAATAGGTTCCTTTTCAATGAAAGCTAGGAAAACAAGTGGGCGGAGGGCTCTACCTAGAGTCAAATCTGACCATTGCCCCATTAGCTTAGAACAAGAGCCTTTTAGGCAAGGACCTCGACCCTTTAGGTTTGAGAACATGTGGTTGACTCACCCGAACTTCGTGAAGAAGGTTGAGGAATGGTGGAGAGAAGACCCAAGGGGGGTGAAGTGGAAAGGGGTAAGATTCCATAAAAAACTAAAAAGATTGAGAGCACATGTGAAGGATTAGAATAGGGAGCATTTTGGGAGAATAGAAGAATTGAAATCCTCTCTGTTTACCCAAATAGAGGAACTGGATGTGAAGGAATCCCAAAGAGCCTTAAGCCCTCAAGATAAAGATCAGAAATGGAATCTGAAACGAGAGTTAGATGAAGTTATTTTGAGAGAAGAAATTTCTTGGAGGCAGAAGTCTAGATGTAAGTGGATTAAGGAAGGAGATGGGAACACTAAATTTTTTCATGACCTAGACAATGGAAGGAGAAGGAAAAACTTAGTTTCCAAACTAGAAGTGGAGGGAACAGTCTTTGATACCCAAGAGAGGATAACCACTTGTTTTGTTGACCATCTCACATCCATCTTGAGGAGACCCCTAAGCCCTAGAGTGGAGTTGGAAGGTGTGACCTGGCAGAGGCTTCCAGAAGAGAGTAGAAGCTAGCTGGAGAGGAATTTTGAGGAGGAAGAAATTAGAAAAGATGTTTTTTTCCATGGACAGATCTAAAGCACCAGGGCCAGATGGGTTTACAATGGCTTTCTTTCAAGATTGTTGGGACATAGTCAAAGAAGATTTAATTGAGGTCTTCAAGGAATTTGAGAACAATCAAGTGATGAGTCAGGGAATTAATGCTACTTTTTTAGCCTTAATTACGAAAAAGAAAGAGGCCAAGCATCCAAAGGACTTTAGACCTATTAGTTTGGTGACTAGTGTTTACAAGATTGTGGCAAAAGTCTTATCCTTGAGGATAAAACAGGTGCTTCCTTGTCTTATTAGCTAAGCGCAAGGAGCTTTTGTTCAGGGGAGACATCAGATTCTAATAGCAAATGAATGTATAGAGGAGATGAGGAGATCGGGGCATAAAGGTTATGTTTGTAAACTTGACCTTGAAAAGGCCTATGACTTAGTGGATTGGGGATTCTTATCACTCGTGCTAAGGACGTGTGGGTTTGGGGATAAGTGGTACAAATGGATAAACGGTTGCCTCTCTAGTTGTCATTATTCCATCCTAGTCAAAGGGGTAGTTATTGATTTTTTTCCCAACTAGCAAGGGTCTAAGACAAGGTGATCCCATGTCACCTTTCCTTTTCACTTTAGTCGCCAATGCTTTTAGTAGACTCCTCTCAGAAGCAAATGGAGACAGATCCCTAAGAGGGTGGAGAATAGGTAGAGATAGAGTGTCAATAACCCATCTCCAATTTGCATATGATATAATAATCTTTTGCGAAGGTTGTGATTTGACAGAGATAAGGAATCTAAAGGATTTAATAGTTCACTTTGAAAAGGCCTCGAATTTGAAGGTAAATTTTGAGAAGAGTTGTGTTGTGGGGGGTTCATTTGCACAGAGAGGAGGTGGAGTCTATAGCAGCCTTGTTAGAATGCACTTGCTCTCAATGGCCTCTATCCTATCTAGGACTTCCTCTAGGTGCAAATCCAAAGGAAAGTAGGTTCTGGAATCCGGTGGTTGAAAATTTTGAAAAAAGATTGGCAGCTTGGAAGAGGAACTACATCTCCATGGGTGGTGGAGTTACTTTGATTAAAGCAACTTTAGCCAACTTTCCTTTATACTTTCTGTCAGTCTTTAGAATTCCTAAAAGGGAGGCAAAGAGGTTGGAAAAACTGATGAGGGACTTCCTATGGGAACCTGGTGAAGAAAAAAAGATCACTTGATTAGGTGGGAGGTGGTGAGTCGGAGCAAAAAAGGAAGACTAGGCTTAGGGAATGTGGTGAGTAAGAATGAGGCTCTTTTAGGTAAGTGGCTTTGGAGGTGGCCCCTGGAGAGGGAGAGGTTGTGGCATGAAGTAGTGAAAAGTATCCATGGCTGTTCTAAATCAGGTTGGGATGCGGGGGTATCCCGAAGAGCTTTGCTCACAACACCTTGGAAGGCTATCTCTGGCATTATCCCTAAATTCCTCAGGTTTGTAAGGTACGATGCTTGTTCTCGAAACTCTATTCTTTTTTGGAAAGATACTAGGGTGAGCACTCAACCCCTAAATGACCGTTTCCCTTCTCGCTATTTCATCTCCCTCTTTAAAAAGAAACCCATTTCTTGGTTCCTTCCCCCGCCCCCCCCCCCGGTTTGCCCTTTGGCTTTAAATTGGGATTTTGGGTTTCGGAGAGAGTTAAGGGATGAAGAATTTCATTGTGTCTCAGAGTTGTTTTTGCTTCTAGATTCGGTGTACCTAGACCCCACTAACCCGGACAAAAGAGTCTGGACTCTAAACCCAGTTGGCTCTTTCACTTGCGCATCTTTCTTTAAAGCCCTTTGTGGATTTTATGGGAGGAGAGAAATGC